TGTTTTGTAATATAGAGGAAAAAGAACCATTTGATTTGGCACAGAGGTTTTTAATTATTAACAAGCTTAGGTGAATATGTTTATTCCTGCTTTTTTTCTCCCATGTATCGTGGAACGAAAGAAAAGATAAGAAAAAAAAGGTATTGTTTGTGAACTCCTATTTTTTATCCTTCTCTTATCCATTTTAAACTTTTTAATAGATATGAACATATATAGATACAGAAGAAAACCAACGGATAAAATATTAAAAGCAGATAATAAAGTTTATTGCCACCACTCCGTTTTTATCGTGAAACTATGTGATAATCATTATTCATTAACTAAAAAAGAAAATCCCGAAGTTACAATAATCATGGATACATTTCTTGAAACTAGACGATGTGTAATGTTTCATATTTTAGAATTTTTTTAATAGAAAGCTGTATCATTATACATGTTGTTCCATCTCTCTATCGATAAACACTCATAACAATGGTTTGACTATTATCTGACGTCATTATGGATGCGCAATTCATTGTGTAAATAATGTATTCTGTTATCGGTTATATAATATATGAGTATGTATATCGTGGGTTGTTAATGTTCAATGTTCCATCAATTTTTTTTGCCAAAAATTGTTTTCTTTCTCTATACCTATCCATCTCTATATATGTATGTACATTATTTTATGTATTACGAAATCACATTCAAATCGTTAATCTTTCTTATCACACATTTTAATTGCACATAGTACTAATAACAATAATAGAATGTTAGCCATACATTCATTCATCGACAATAACGAGAGAAATTGATATATTGTTCAATAAACAGACCAAAAATATACAAACATTTGTCTGACACATGCAGTTTTAGTTCAGTAGGCAGATTTCGTTCTTATATCCTACAGTAATTAATGATCAGGATTGATGAATAAGATGAGGGAATGTGTTTTTTTTGTGTTAAAATCGTAGTCATCCAGATTGAGATAAGATATATTTACAAACTATATTTGATAAACTATCAACTATTTTCTTATTTTTTCTGTTTACCGCATCTTAATTTATCGACATTCTAGTCACGATATTCATTGAATATCATCTATAAAGGGAAAAATTGTGTGGAATACCTTGCATTTTGACGAAAAACTTCTTATTCTAATAAATACTGGCAGTTTTTATCAAATACACACGGGTGAAAACAGGAAATATTATATACGTAATTAATATCATTGTCTTCAGTATGTTAATCTCCTATCATTTGCCAGTCTTTTTATCATATTTTGTTGACGTATCTCTTTTATTTGATTAGAAAAATTATTTTACGCGTAGTTTTTTTTCGTTGATCTGTTCTAAAGTTGATTTGGAATATATTTAATTAATAAAAATGAAAACAACGTTTTTTTTTTCTCTCTATCTGTCTTTTTTTGAACGTACATAGTTTAGTGGGCTGTGTAAATTTCTCTTTGTCATTGATCTTATTAAATGAGCGTTCGAGTGAATGAATGAGAATTAAGCGAGAAATAAAAACTAATCTGATCTCTAGTTTGCCTTCAAGCAAATTATAATTACAGAAAAAAAGTGCAATTTAAAAATCGAGAATATCTTTTTATTTTTTGTTTTCTTACACACCTGTATTTCACATGATCAATGAAAATCTACATTGGCTCTCTTTTATTTAATGTCTGTCAGCTAAACATACGATTAGTGTTTAGCAGACAAAAAAAGGAATGTACTTCTCTAAAAAATACCATGTCTGCCTGTTTTCAACTTTTAATTACCACACTTTACTCTAAAAGTGTCAAAAAAGAATAGTACATCACTTTTAATTATAGATAAAGGCAACCTTAAAAAACAAGTTGATGCTACTACTATTTTTAACTTTTTGTGTTTCGAGCTATGTTCTTTCTTACTTGTTAAAATTGAGTGTTTATTGTTAGTTATGGATATGTGTATCTCTTGTTAGTTATGAACGTGGGCAATAAATAGTATCCTCAGATTTGATCGAACGACTCGGTTGCATCGTTCAAATATAAAAGTTCTTTTCTTTTTTCCAGTTATTTAAGCACGATTCTCATCGTTGATGCGTTCAAAGTTGTTCTCTCAAGTTTCATTTTTTTTCATAAATATTTTCTTTTCTTCGAACATTTACCACTACTACCCGATCCTCATTTCTTTTTTTTCTTTTGCTGATTTATTTCTCATATTGACTATGTGTATCTGTATTAGAAATAAGTGATTTATCTCTATCTTTTTTTTCTTCCTTTTTGCGCAAAAGCAAATGAAAGAAAAAGAATAAACGTTTATATTGATACAATATTCGATACAACGTTCAAGTCTAGCAAACAAAAACAATTTATTTGTCAGAAGTTTCAGATCACATATACATTCGACGAGAACTGAGTGGTGAGTGATCGCTGTTCAACTATCTTCTACCTATGTATATAATATTTGTTATTACATTATTAATTGTTATTTTACTATTTGAGATTGATCCGCTTTGTAATAATTCTAAGTTATTTTTACTGATAAACGTTTGTGACCTTTAATCTTAAAAAATGCAGTCATAAATATGAACTAAGTTTGATGTAAATCAAACAATTCAAAAAAGTGAACACAAACAGCCTTCAACTTTTTTAACTCGTAACAAGACAAAAGTTAACCCATTGTCCGTCCACTTTGTGTTGAAAAGACGATGATGAATCATTTACTAAATCGTATTTTTGTAAACAGTAGGTTATCAATTCTTTTCATTCGACGATTTCACAAGTTGTGTTTTTTCTTTTTACACAATTTTGATAGAAATAGCGCCGACGGAGTTCTCTCATACTGTTTATTCTTGTCTCTTTTCAAGATGGTTTTCAACTATAGTTAGTCCTATTTTATTATTTCTGTTAAAGAAACATATAAGTTTTTATGAGGAACACATAATAAAGTTCCATTGAATGCAAATAAAAATGAAACCATCAATGTTAAGCACAACTCCTGCTTATACGTAATAAGAGAAGCTTGGAATATAGAGACTTATGAACGTCTTTTTTTTTCCTATGTACTCCATGAGACGTGTCATTTTTCTTCTTTAAACTAGATGGGTGAGTGAGTGGGTGTAATTGAATATATACTTAGAGTATAAACAATAAAATTCATCATCATCACACAAACGTAATAACAAGTAGACGTTGTTTAAATTTATATCGCGCTTATGTATTACTGGTTTTTTCGTTTTTCTTACAGTGAGTGATATGTATATATGTATATGTATATATGTCGCCAAACATGTTCTTTTCTAACATTACAGAATGGGAAGGATAATCGATCTTGTTTCTCTTGTTACAATAATAGCTTTAAATAATGAACATGTACTTTTTGTTTAATGTAATAATAGTATTTTGCTGAGGACAGCTTACATTCAACTTAAATACAGTGAGTATATCAAACCAACCAAAAATCCTCTTAGTTAATTTAAGGGAATTCTCTCTCTAAGAAGTCATATTTTCTTAAAAATAAAATTCTTTTGTCATATATCAATGTCTAACCTTAACGGCCTGATTTCAGAATCAGTATTATATTTTACCCCTCGATTAGTTATTTTCAAACAAAAATGTACGGATTCATTTAGACATTTTTTTTTAAACTCCAGAGAGAAAACTATAAAATCATCTAAACCAGTTTCTAGATTTAAGTATCGAGATTAATTTAGAAAAATTTTAATCTTTCTCTCTAATCGCTCTGAAATGTTAGAAAATGCTGAACGTTCTATTTTTACTTTTATACTACCTATAACTCTTGAACCACTCGATATTTCATGCTAAAATCTTAATCGTGACCCATGTAGATAAATAACATTCATTAATATAGTAGTAGTTTCGTATCATTAAACGTTCAAGATAGTCCAGACTAAGTTCTAACTTATATGTGTTGCTTCTCCTAAATAAGATTGGTCAAAAAATGGATATTGAACTCACTACGAAAAAACTGTGAATCGATATTCTGCTTTACGCTTGTTGTCTTAAGCTCAGTTTATCATTTTCGGGAGAGCTTGATTACAGTGGTATGTATAGGCATTCTTCTATACATCTTTTAGAACCAACAAATTTTAATAACTGACTTGCCTACACTAGTTTTTAAGGAATCTTTTTAAGAGTATTTTTACATAAGAATAGAAGAAGAAAATCAGTCTGTTTTAGTATTCATATCACATCAATTTCCTTATCAAATTTAGCTTGTTTTTCTCGACGATTTTCCTTCTTTCCACTTTAACTGTACGTTCTTTAAAAAAAAAGGATATTTTTCTGATCTGCGTGAGAAGTGTTCTTTTTCTCTTGATTTTGAGCAGAAAAACAGAAAACTGTGTTTGTGAGTTACAAATTAGTGAAAAAGTCGAAATATAATACAAAGTTGATACTAACATTTACGCATATATAAGTATATTGAATATACCTGCTTAACATGTTTTTTAATTCAAAATAAAGAAGAAATAATGATTTTTGTCTATATATTCATATGTATATAAACCCTTCATTGAGTTTTGTTTTTATGACCTCATTTTTGATGGATGTCATACAAGGGTAAGAAAAAACGTGAGAGTGAACGATTGAAAGAAAGAGTTGAACTAATTTTGTGTCTATATGCATTTATTATGACAAAATACGGAAAAAATGTATTTATAAATGAATGACGACGCGTACATGCAATACCTTTCCTTCCTTTTTCCTCAATTTGCTAAAATGAGATTATACAGAGTTTTTCTTTGTTAGTGTTTGTCATCGTTTAGAACAACAAAAATATATTAGTGAATATTTTTCTACTATCAGAGATTGTTTATTACTCTTTAGAATTTTATAACTTAAAAAACATTTCGAATTGAAATTGCTCGCTGAAAATGTAGGTTCAATCAAAGTACATCGTTGTTAGTTACTAGAAAAATTGGTAGACATTATTATTCGTTAAAATTTTCATTTTTTTTAAGAATTCTCATCTATTTCTCATTTAATTTTTTAAATTAGAATAATTTATAGATACATGAGTATTATAGATTCGTATAATGATTGTAATAACACGGCTAATATTTACGATTTTGACGATGTTATTATAAACAGACCTGACCAATTGAAAATTGTTGAACAACAATATGATTTAGAACCATTATTATTATTTTCATGTCAGAATATGTTAAAAACAATTCGTTGTATTGATCCAAAATCACGTTTAAATGAATCTGGTTATAGTTCGAAAACAGAATGTAGTAGTCCAGAAAATAAAACAAATAGACAAAATGATTTAAATAGAATGAAAAATAATACAAAAATGGATCATTTAAAAGAAAAAAAACCACCGATACACAAAACCACCTTATCATTATTTGAAAATTTGATATTAGAGGAACAAAGTCTACAACAACAGCAAGATCAACAACGAATATTACCTAAACTATCGTCCAATGATGGACGAAAAAATGTAAGTACAACACCATCCTTATATTAATAAAAGAAAACAATTATTTCATTAAATTTAGGATATTGATAAATATACTAGTAAAGAAGTTCAACGGTTGTCACCAATTAATGATGAATCATCTAATTTAGCTACTAACTATTCATCGAATAATAAAGATTTAATAACTCATCAATGTTTTCCAACACTAATTCCGTCCAATAATGACAATTCGTCTTCTTCATTACTCACTCATAACTCTAAAGTATTATCACCCAAAACCGTACGACGCCATTGTCATGTGTATGATGAATGGACACGTTTAAGTTTTTATGATAATGTCGAAACAGTACCACAGCTAATAACGTCATTGCCAAATAACGAACCTTTGATTATTGAAGTAGATCAGATAACGACCACCAATACATCTACTTCATCTCCAACTTCGTCACATGATGATAAACGTGTCACATTTAAACGTCGAGATGATAAACAAACAGTAATCGAACAACATAATTCACCATCGAATAAGTTATGTGATGTACGTCGTACACAATACGATAGAAACGACTCAGGACTAGGAACGAGTAGTGTCGAAAGACAAATTGATACTGAGAATAAAATTTTATCTGATGTTGAACAATCATCTCATCGACAGCAGCAACGATCATCATCCACTGCATCTTCACTATCCGCTTCTTCCTCATCTATTTCTTCAAAAACCAGTAATACTAACAATGTAACAACTACATCGTCATCTTCATCCAATCGTTTACCGACAAGTAGACGTTTCAGAGTGAAATGGCATTCATTTACGAAATCACATCGACCGAGTTTTAATTCTTCTAAATATCATGTATCTTCAATGTCTGTTGGACAATTATTCGCATTACGTCGTGCAGCATCAATACGAATACAAGAATTACTTGACCGAAGACACATTTCAACATCAAATAATACTTTAGATTCTTTGACGGTGAATGTTAATTACACCAGCAACAATAATATACCAGTAGTTGCATCACCACGTACTATCACGCCATTTTGGAGTCACGTACCGAAACTCATCATACGAAGGCACAGAAAGGTAGAACTGAAATCCGTTTTGTTTTGTTTAATAAAAATAGTAATACATTGTTAAAATTTTTTTTTCACTTTAAGGAGAATCATCACAATACTAAGGAAATCAAAAAATCTGTATTTGGTGTATCACTCATGTCAATGACACAAAAAACTGGTCATCCTGTACCAACCACAATATTATCGGCAATGAAATATCTTCGTCGTACATCAATTGATTCTGTTGGAATATTTCGAAAACCGTAAGTGTTTTTTTCCATTTAACTTAGAAAATCAAGCGAATATGGTTTTCTTTTTTACTAATTATAACACATTTTTCATATTATAGTGGTGTGTCAAATAGGATAAAACGTTTACACGAGTTAATTGAATCAGATTTAGAATTCCATAATTTTGATGATTATTCACCATATGATGTTGCTGATGTCATTAAACAATATTTTCGGTGTTTACCAGAAAATTTATTTACAACAAAATTATCGTCTGTCTTTTTAAATATAAGTGAACATTTTTCATCACCATTACCAATCGAATCAACAACAATTAAAATTAATAATGAAAAACGTTTACGAACATTGCAGTACGCCATATTATTGCTACCAGATGAACATCGACTTGTTTTGCATTTACTTTTGTCTTTCTTAAATGATGTATCAAAACATTCAAAAACAAATCAAATGAGTGCAATAAATTTAGGTAAGTGAAAAAGTGTACTTCTTTTTATTCTCGGTATGTTAATTATGAATATGTTGAATATTGAAGAGAAATAAATTAGAATTATTTATTTTTTTGTTTTCTTCTAGCTACATGTTTTGCTCCAACATTATTTTCATTTCGTCAGTATAATCAAACTGATATAATGTCTCCTCGAGCAATAAGAAAACTAAATAATAATACGTCATCAGTAATTCACAATGGTCTGTCCATAGCAGCTACGCCTATTCTTGGTATGCCCGACTATCGAGAAATACATGAACAACGTAAAGCAATGGAAATTCTATCTTGTATGATTGAAAATGTTCGACTATTATTCCTTGTACCAGACGAACTACATAAGAGCTGTCAATTTTCTTACATAGAAATCGGCGAACCATGTACACTAGATGAATTATCTCGGCGTGTAACAGAAAATGCAAATTCATCATCGGTACTTTCTCAATCAACAAATCAAACTACACAAAAATATCGTCGCTGTTCATCAAGTAACCTGGTGTATAAACGCAGTACAACTCAACAACGTGCAGCAACTCAAGCTACGACCTATGTGTCCGCTAGCTCATCCATTGGATCTCTTAGTTCATCAGCGTCTGCTTCATCATCTTGTGAAAATATGATTTCATCAGACAATAGCAAGAGTAACAAAACTAATAATAATAATAATAACCGACAAGCTTACATAAAAGCGTCATCATCATCTCGATTATTTTCTCAACAAACATCTTCTTCAGGCTGTTCATCTTCATCATTCTCTCAAAAATCCAATTATAAGGCATTTATTGACCGTTGTATTGATGAAATAATGCGTGAATCGTGTCATACAAAAGTGAAAGGTTGGCAGTCATTTGGAAAAAATAACGAAATAGAATTAGCCTACAAAAAATTAGATGACGGTTGTCCATTAAGTTTATGGAAATGCACGACGACTGTTGAAGCACCGCCTCTCGATATCCTAAATCGTCTTTTATATGAACGAAACTTGTGGGATGCAGATTTTCAGAATGGTACTATTATTGAATTATTAAATAAACAAACACATGTCTATCAATATATCGTTAATGAATTAGCACCTTTAGTATCACGATATTTTGTCGAAATCAGATCATGGAGAACAAATATTCAAATGAATAATGGACAACAATCAACAACTATATTAAATCAATCGTCGACACAATCGTTAACTGTGGGCTCATCGTCGTCAGCATCCAGTAGTGCGATTCAATCATTCACACAACAGCAACAACAACAAAAGCGTGATAGTTGCGTACTTGTTTGTACATCCATTGAACATTCAAAAGCTCATTGTCCACCAACCTTAGGTATAGCAAAAGATGTTGAATTCTTCTCATTTCACTACTTTAACTAAGCTTTTAGCACTTTTATACTATATCAGTTATTAATTTTAGTTCGTGCTGTTACATTGGCATCTCGTTATTTAATACAATCTTATGGATGTGGAAAATCGAAAATAACCCATTTAAGCCGTGTTGATCTCATGGGCCGTTCAACTGAATGGTATCAAAAAGCATATGGATCTATTTTAATACGATATATGAATAAAATAAAAGAATCATTTGCTCATTCATCCACAAATTCTGATGGTCCTGAAACAAAAGTTTAAGGATAATCATTTGTTTTATCTGTAATATCGATTTTATTGATTCTTATGTTCTTCCATTTTTCAATTTTTCAATTTATCTTATGTGTGTTTCATTCAATGTGTGATTCAATATTTTCACTCTTTTTTTGCGTTCTATTCTATTTTCTTATGAAATTGTAAACATGTTTGCAAGTCATTTGTAAACTTGTCAGAACACTTTTTTGTAACAGTTTTAGATGTTTATCCCATTTATCATTCCGATTTGATTTGCTCGCTCGTTCTCGTCCACAAAGAAATTGCAAGTTTTTCTTTGTCCTGTGTACGCTTTAAGCAATGAATATTTCTGTCTGTTATCTGATAGTTTTGCTGTTATTGACTCTCTTTTTAATCGCACGTATAAAAATCTGTGAATTGCACCTTTTTCTTATACTGATGATTTTCTGATACGTCTTTTGCCATTTTACAAGCTACAAGAACAAAAACAAAAAATTAAAATAATGGAGAAATAAAAAAATGTTGCACTACCGTACTTTTCCTCGTTCAGCAAATTGCTAGATTAAAGGCTACTCGAATGAAGGATATACCATAGTGACATCTATTTTCATACTGTCTGTTACTGGAATTATCCAAGATCGGTCACTTTCGAAAAAAACCTACTGTATGAACTACTTGATGATTTTCTGAAAATCAATCGCCGTCAGCGAAAAACGCACGAAATTCAATTTAGCCAATTATCATGATGACATACTATGCATGAAAAAAAACTCTCATATTTCGATTTCGATTTCAATAGTACTTTTTTTCACTAGTCTACATAATAGCCTCATTAGTACTTTTTCACTGGTTTACAGACTATTATATTATGCACGAATTATAAACTGATAATACCATCTTTACTTTGCGCGCTTAATATTTTGAAAAAAAACAAATTCCTGACGAAAATTAACAATGACATACACTACGAATGAGCTGAATCAATCTGTCCCGCCATAATATCTTGTGCACCGCACGAAACAGGCTGTCATTTTCTGGATAAAAAGAAGCAAAGAATGGGAGAATTCGGTGACATTTTTGAAAAATTGATAAAAACATCATCGCGATCGTCTCTGCCACTAGTGTTTTTAACAGAATTTATCCGCTGAGCGTGCTCTGTTTTTTTCTCAAAGCCTATACGTTGCAGATCTAAAATAGAAAGCATCAATTAGGTAGATATCAGGAATTAGAGGAGAAACTTTCGTTATACAGGTTTTTTTCAGAAAGCAACTTTGCAGACACAAACAATTATAAATAGAGAAAAACATCACTGATCTTGTATAACAAGAAAAAAGTCTCTTGTCTCAAACAGCAGAATGACTCACTAGCTAAAAAGTTTTTCTTATTTTCTCTTAAATATACAAGAAGTTCTATTAGAAAACAGCGTGTTATCGCTGTTTAAGATAGTAGAGTGTACACTGGGCCCTGCTTTTCCTAGCAAAGCGTAAAACAGCGTATTTTTAAATTTTCCAAGCGTATGTACGCTTTGATACAATGAGTACGCTTTGCTATTAGAAACACTGTCTGCCGCATATGTGGATTTTAGTTACAACAGTCACATGACTTAAAAAGTTATCAAGTTGGAAGAATAAGGCGTCAGATGATATAATGTGAAATATTTTGTTTAAAGGAAAATGTTACAGCCAGGAACAGTATATAGACGTCTTGCTGGTTATCTCTTTTTTTTACTGAGAAACTGATTTTACTGAACTTTTCTGATTGGGTGATAGAAAAATTTATGCTCTGGTGACTCAAAAACTCAGTTCAGTTCAGTTTCTCAGTAAAAAAAGGGACAATCGTCGTATTACAATTGCAACATGTTATAAGAAACTCCAGTTGCATCTGCTATTCACGCAAATAAGCGCGAATTATGGTGAAAATGGGGAGTTTGATCTTCAACATTGGCAGTTTTATTGGAAAAGAATAAAAAACGACATAGTTTTACCATTTCTTTTTCTTCTTTAGATATGTTTCTCACTAACACATTCCATATGTCTTTTTCTATTATTCTATTTTCCGACGATATCTGACGATGGGTATAACGGGTCTGCTGCCCTTGTTAAAGCCAGCTTCGCGAGATGCTAATATAACAGAGTTCAATGGTTGTACGGCTGCTGTTGACACCTATTGTTGGATATACCGAGGATGTTTTGGATGTGCAGATAAAATCGCTCAAGGAACACCCTGCTCAAGGTAAGAAACTAAATCGTTTTGATCTTTTATCCAATTTTTTTTTTCTTTTATTCAAGCTATGTACGTTATGTGACAAAATATGCCACGTTATTACTCCAGTCTGGTATTAAGCCAATTATGGTATTCGATGGTTCTCCGTTACCTTCAAAGAGAAATACAGAAATAAAACGACGAGTGTATGCGTGTTCCTAACAGTTGTAAAAACATTTTAACAATTTTGTTTTTTTGCTTATAGAGAAAAGGACATTAATCGTCTACGTGCTCAAGACGCTATTAAAAATGGTAAACAGATGGATGCATTGACCTTTTATCGTCGATCGATTGATGTCACGACAGAGATCGTATTGGAAATTATTCATGTATAGAGTAATCAAAGCTAAGACAAAACATTTAGCTGAATACTACTTATTTTAGGCTTTAAGACAAATGGGCGTGGATTGCCTTGTTGCGCCTTACGAAGCCGATGCACAGTTGGCATATTTAAATTCATCGGGCATTGCTGATTTAGTTATTACAGAAGATTCAGATCTTGTTCTATTTGGGTGTAATTTGGTGGGTGCTTATATATCATGTATTTTAGAAAAATAGTATCTTTTTTCTTTTTATTAGATTTTATATAAATTAGATTTAAATGGTACAGGAACATTGATTGAAAAAACAAAATTAAGTCTTGTGACAGAATTTGATGATGATATAAATACCTTTGAACGTTTTCGGTGGATGTGCATATTATCGGGTTGTGATTATTTAGAGAGCTTACCAAATATTGGTTTAGCCAAAGCAAAAAAATTACTTCGAATGACTAAACGAAAAGAAATCGATGTGGTAAGTCTTACTTTGTTTTTGTTATGTTTGGTAGATAAAAGACTGAATACTGTTCACAATTTCTATTTGTACGTTCTTTCTGTCCTAATTAGTAATCGTTTCGTATAATGTACTTAACGTTCTTGTTTGAAATTTTAATAGATTCTCAAGCAGATGCCAATTAATTTGAAAATGACTAATTTAAAAGTTAGTGAAAATTATATTGAAGCGTTTAAACGAGCTGATCTAACATTTCAATTTCAAGTTGTATTTGATCCATTGATACGACAATTGGTAAGCATTTTATTTAGAAAATAAGATATTTCTTATCTCACACACTTTCTGTTTCTTGAGCAAATGTGTCAGATGTCTTTCTATTCGCACAAAATATATTATATGCAGATATTGTCGCAAGTCAGAGAAAAAGCGAAGTGCTGTAGAAATAAGAACAACATATGTTCTGTTAATCATATCAAAGCAAAATTCGTATCTTTCTGTATATCTAAGTGCATGTATATCTGTCGTTTTTGTCATTTGAGATAAACATAGTGTGAGAAAGGTGATATTTCCTTACTTGCCAGATTTCTATTGATTCTATCCCAATCAATTTTGTTTTGTATTTTTATAGACTTCATTGAATCCGTTACCGGATGATATTGACAAAACTGAATTAGAATTTGCCGGGCATTATTATGATAATGAAATAGCTTTTCAGCAAGCAATTGGTAATTTAAATACAAAAACAAAACAACGTATTGATGATTTTGATCCAAAACAGTGGAAGGTACGAAAATAACTAGTTTTCGTTGTAAAGATTCATTGGTGTATGGATTTTATTTACGACGCAATTCAGAGATATTTTGTTCGATAAAGATCTTTACAAGAAAGATCTTTGTACTTTCACTTTCTTTTTAGGATTATCATCCACCAAAAACATCATCATCGTCAGTTTTTATTCCTTCTCATATGAAATCAATCTGGAAAATTGGATATAAATGTCGCTCAAAACCATTTTCTATTGAAAGTCAATTATCCTTGAAAGAGTCAATATCGCATTCACAATTATCGGCATCATTTTTTTTGACAAGTGTCACTCATAAACGCAAGAAAATACATAGTGAAGCACCATCAAAAATATCACCAGCTATGGCATTAATTGAATCTACAAGTTCAATATTGCAGTCGTATATAACAGATGAGAAGAATGAAATAAATAACAGTAATCATACACCAATAACAAGTCCTGTTGGAAAACATGTATCAAAATCACCATTTGCCATTCCATTTGTCTCTCCTAAACTTGAATATCATACAAAAATGATAACAGATATTCAAGTAGTTGAAAAGCAAAATGGTTTTGATATATACGATCATGATACGAAAAGTCGATTTTTTCCAAATAAACAAATAACAGAAACCAACAACAGTGTATTTGATTTAATAGAAAATGATAGTAATATTTTTGTGCCTGATTCTGAAGATGATAATGAAGTACGGCCGACGAATAGAAAGCGTTTAAAACGAGTCGATTTAAATGTTGAACAATCAACATTATCAATCTTCTCATCTCTAGACACTAATTGGTCGAATGAAAATTCGGATGTAACAATTGAAACAGATTTACAAGTAGAAAGAGATGTTTTGGAAAAGAAGTCATCGACTTTATATAAATTTAAATCACGTAAATCAAAAAACATCGTTGAACAAATTCAATCTGAAGAAAGAAATGATAAATCAAGCAATTGTGTATGTATAGACTGGTTTCTCAATACTTAAGAAATGATGGATCTATACACAGACAACAAAGTTTCACACAATATGACAGAATACAAAATTTTTGTCATATGAGACTAATTGCGTGGTTCAAATCTATCAACAGAATTTTACTTCTCAAAAATTATCGAATCTAAACAAAAATCATTAGTGAATTTTTGATTCTGTTATTCGATCTAGAATTCAATGGTACCATTTAGTCTTATTCAAGAAATTATTCTCATATATGTGCTGGATTTTTCTTAGAACAGACAGGAATATCAAAAAATAGGAAATATTTTCGAGAAAACAAGCAGAGACTGTAACGTCAAAAAATTCCTGTAATATCTTTACTGTTTCTTTTTGACATAGGATAGATGAACATTTCGACACACCTATAAAAAGAACAAAAATTTCTTTTCTTTTCTTTCGTATGTATGAATTAAAGTAAAGAAAACAAATTTAAGAGTAGAGAGGAGAAGAAGGAAAAGTGGTTGGCGTCTTTGTTATTCAGAGTAGAATAATTATAATGTTTAATATCTTGAAACGGAAGATGTAGACCTAAGCGTAAAAAATGTCAATATCTCGATTTTGATATGTCGAAGAAGCAGAGATAGATAATCTACAAATATGAATATGCGATATTATACTGTAAGACATAATCTTCCGTCTAAATTAATCGTGAGGCATATAGTTTTCTTTGTGAACCTCATATTTTATATTAATTGAACTACTTGACTGTCATCTGTTCTTTTGTAGAATGTTACATCAAATGAAGCTCTTGGTATGTGGTTAAATCAGACTATGTTTACTTTTTATCAATATTTCAATTTTTTTATTCAGATCCTTCAATTTCAATAGAAAAATCTCCTCGTATGATATTAAGTTATTTTAAAACACAATATGAAAAACAACGGTATGTATCTACTCTATGAGTTGAAAAAGATCAAAATAAATAAGCAATTGATTAACAATATGTTTTTTTATACGATTTGTTATATTTATTTTTAGTTCTCCTCGCATGGTTCGTCCAGTTTAAAGAAATTGTTTTTACTTTGTTTCATTAGCTAGAATTAATCTTTTAAGATATATATATTTTCTCAAATTTGTGTCAGATAGCTAATTTGTTCGCTTCACTGACTGTACTATATATATATACATATATAGATATAGATATAGATAGATATACATATATATGTCTGATAGAATACTATTTTTTTGCATGATTTTTTTTCTACTTATTTTTGAATTTCTTTTGTTATAGATCATATTTTGTGATGAAAAATGAGGGAAGGATAGTTCTTTTTTTGTTTAAAATCAAATAATGAAAATATACTCATCAACAAAAACTACAGTTTTTTGGTTTATTTTTCTTTCTTACTGAATTTAGTAGAATAAATAATATGAACTGTTTAGTAAATACTAAAAGTATAAACAAATATCTTTTACAACTAATTATTGGTATATACCATGGAAACAACAAAATATCTAATTACAAACATAAATAGTGTGCCAATATAAGTAACTAATACCTGTTAATTTCCAGAAGTTTTATTTTGTAAATAGAAATACATTTTATTTAAATTAAAAATATAATAAATTATTTAAAACAAAGTATTGTTCATTTATACTCAAACAACAGAAAAACTATCAAAAAATACTAGTAACATAATTATAAATTGTTAATTTTAAATGATTTTATTTCATACACAACATATTTTAATCTGAATCATCTGGAGAATGTTCTACAACTCCCCAGTTCGATGTTCTACGAACATTCAAATTTTTCGGTTGTTGTTGAATGGTAGAAGAATTTCGTTTTGTACTACGTTGCTGAATAACGGATACTGTTGTTGGTAAAGCAGTTGGTTTTTCTTTTTCCGAATGTCTTGACGCACTTTTAACTGATGAAGAACGACGATGTCGAAACTTTTGTTCAGGTAAACGTGTAAAAGTGCCGGATTCTCCCATAGGTTGTGGCAACCTATTGTTAGTAGCTGTTTGTGGAAGAAGAACTGGGTTAAAGGTTGATTGTGTATCTGAATCATTAGCAAAAAAGTTTTCTGTTCTTAATATATCAGAAGACGGTTGTTGTTCTCGCGCTGTGATGGTTGGCGATAACATTTTAGATCGGTTATCTGAAGTATTAATCGTAAAAAGATTACGACTGTTAAGTTGTGGAACTTCTTGTTGAGACATTGGTTTTTCATACTGTTCATGCTCATCTGACATCCATTGTCTTAACAGTTTTGGACTTGATCGACTTATGTCAGACGCACTTTCGAACCAATCATCGATGTCTGTGTTTTTTGATTGTTGAACACTGTTTGACATTATTGGAACTACTAAAAAGAACGGAATCATGTGATTTTTGCCAATTGACGAAAATACACTGGTAGTATTGGCGAAAACGTCTCTTAATACAAGTCACTTCTTTTTTTCGTTTAGAAACAATTGTAACTTGCATTGAAAGACAATGCAACTGAATTATTGGCAAAAAACCCATGGGTTGTAATGATGAAAGATTAGTGTACTTTCGCAGTTTAACGAAAGTCATCTTGGCGTATCTCTCAATTCCCGAAAAGGCATAATAAAAAGAAAGGGGATGTATGTTCATCTCCGTGGTAGTAATCGACAAATCTACTTGCAAATTTATTAAGCACACATCTACAGACACATTTTAAACTCATTGAAAATCTTACTTGGTGATTACTTTTAAGGTGTAGCGATGGCATACTTACTCGATAGTGGCTTTGATGTTACGGTTTGATTTGTTCTATCATTCTCTTCGTTGCTCATTATATTTCCACAATGTTTACACACACCAAAATTTAATGTCGGCTGAAAAGTTGATTGCACAGTTTGTCTATTATTATTATTTAGTACTTTTCGATTTCCGTCTTGTTTTTGTCTTTCTCTTCGTCGTTTTTTCGATGTACGAAAAATATCCTCTTCAGCAAGTATTTCTTCTTCTTGTTTTGTATGGATTGTAGGCGTAGTTACATTCGCCTCTGGAATCGGTATCTGTGCCTGTATATCTAAAATTGCTTCAGGTTTTGATATATTTTTTACAAAAACATCGGATTTGTGTCGTTCATCGTCGGCGATTTTTGCCAACATCTTTCGATGTGAACCATGATCATTCTCAAGTCTTAATTTTTCTTTATGTTTGATTAATTGTTCGACACTTGGTGTGCCGTATGTTTGTTCATCGTTTATTGATAATAGAGATTTTTGTTGATCGACATGATCTTGGTCCTTCTTTTCTGATAGTGAAGTAGGTTTGATTAATTCATCTTGTAAAATTTCACGATCTGTTGTTTTCTTTTTTTCTGTTAATATTGTTACTTGTTGACCAAGTCGTTGTGCGAACATGAGATTTTTTAAATTAAATGGAGCTTGCTGACTAAGAGATAGTGAACCATCTTCAACAATATTTTGAGCCTGCTGTTTCATATTATTTACCTATGAAATAGACATTTCTGGGATTGCACTGGATATTGAAAGTTATTACATAGTTTTGAGGGAGAAAGCCGATCAGAAATACCTACATCTATTTTTTTTTCATTAGCTGCTGCTCCCATCATTCCACTGAGTTGCTGTCGGTCATAGGATTGTGAATATTTAGATGAGTCTTTGTTTATTTTGCCTGCGATGGAATCCAACAGAGGATTAGTGATTGGGTTTGGTGATGTGGAAACGCCGCTAGTCATGCTTTGGTTAGATAAACGTCGTTCTCTTCCAATATCCGATCGAGGTGAGAATGGTGCTTGATTTGTTACCGTCGATTTTGAAACACTACTAATTTCATTTTTAAATATTTTCGGATATTTTTTTTGTATAAATTGCACAATAGCAATCACTAAATGAAGTATATTAATACACAGTGACAAATAAGACTAAGAGTTCGGTTTTACCCGGTTCTGACGGCATTTTTTGGACTAGCATATGTGTAAGTTCTTTAAACAGTCCGTCAAAATTGTGTTGTTTCCAATAATCTTCTGCTCTTGTTTTCGACATAATTGAAATTTAAAACGAGGAAAGTGGATTATATTTATGTGATTATAAATTCACTTGAATATAAGAATTCAATATTAATCCTACCATAGGCATATACGTTCATAACGTTGCGCAGAAACACCCTATCGCTAACACTCAAGTAATATTGACGTAGTGTAGAACTACTCTAGCGGCAGACGATAGAGGACGTCAGAGACTTCTATAACAGCAATAGAAGTTGCTGGTATCAAGCAAGAAATTCACTCATTCATTCATACATCGTTTTTATTAGTGAATGGTAATATAACGTTATTATACCGTTTTAAGAAAAAACTTGAAAAATAATTTGAATATATAAAAAGTTTATTTTTTGCATTCTTCTGCTGGCTGCTACTTCAAACTATATGAGACATTTTTGTTCTGTCTGTCTGATTAATGATTCCTAGAAAACATTGATTACTAGAAATATACAATTCGATTCAGACTTCAGAAACCAAAATTGTTACTGTGATTCAGAATTTCTGAATTTATTTTATTTTGTGTTACTGTGATAGCTATCACAGTGACACGCACTTTTCCCTTGTTTGTTTCTGGGTCTCATTATTACTGTAATAGTTGTTTTTGTGTACATACGCACTTTTTCTTTCTTTCTTCTCACAAAAGCGGATGTCACTGTGTGCCGGTGTTGATGAGTCACAACGTTTATTTCTGGTATTCTAATTTCAAGTGGCTTGCATAATTCACAAAAATAACTATCACAGTGATAATGAGACTCAGAAAGGAAGAAAGGAAAAAGTGCATGTCAATGTGATAGCTATCACCGTGATACACACTTTTTCCTTTCTTCATTTCTGGGTTTTTCCTCACAATTACTCTTTCTGTACAAAAATCCCATTGAAAAACCCATTGAAAATATTGTGTATATAATCAAATCAACAAACTAACAAAATTGTTTTTATGTACACCCGCACTTTTTCCTTTCTTCATTTCTGGGTTTTTTCTCAGATAAATCATTCTTTCTGTAAGAAAATCCCATTGAAAAACCCCATTGAAAATATTGTGTATATAATCAAATCAAAAAACTAACAATACTGTTTACAAAATTTATGCCTTAATCGTACAAGTAAGTGCACTTTCAAATATATTTTTCTTTACATCAAATTTAACACACTTAAATTTAAACACTGACAGACAATTACGTTTGATCTCTAGAACCATTGTCTCCAATCTGTCTTAACATGAAAATTTTTCTTTGACATGCATTTTACATGTTCTGTTTGAATCTAAAATAATGAACTGAGAAAAGATTGTATCTCAAAAAGAAAGGTTCGAAGCATGAGAATAGATGAAAGAAGGCCACTTCAAGTTGTATTATGCAAGTATATATATATACATATTTGATAAATTCCTCAATATGATCAAAAATGGTATAAATGACTAAGAAAATCGTGCTGTTATGATTATAAAAATCATTTCTTACTATTTTAATTAAGATTGAGCACTTCGTCTTTAATTAATATTTTAACCTTACAACAAGATGTATTTATTAGAAAAATAGGAATGAGGCCAAAGAACACTGAAAATTATTAGTTAATTTATTTAACATCGTGTTAGGATAGTTCAGATATGAAGAGATATAAATGCTTAAGGCCTTTTTTTAAATAATCGAAACATTTTCATTTATGGATAAACGTGTATAGAAAAGAACTGCATGAAAAAATTACACGTAGATTAATGTGAACCGCTACCTTTTATAATAAAATCCGTTCTAGACATTCTGAAGCGTGCTCGCAAGTGAAACCTTTTTACGAAGATATTAACGCGAAAAATCCACGCACGGTCATTACACGTTTTTTGAGTTTCATTAGCGGCCACGCGGCAGAAACGTCACATATATATTCACGTCTGGTCACAGGCGAATAACTTTTTCATGCGTGGTCACATGTCTTTTCACTTGTGACGACGTGCGAAAAATGTGATGGAAAAAAATTTCGTGCACAGTTCATGACTGGTCACAAGCGGATTATTTTTTCACGCGCGCCAACACACCATTTACGATGTTCATCTGCGCTCACATTCCGTTTCACGACCTTCACGGGTGTAAACGCCGCGATATCTACTAAACTTTCCCCATGGGTAATCTTAACAACAAGCTTAGGTACACATTTCGTGCATGACGAGAAAAAACCTATAACCTTTTTACACAAAATTATATTACTTATATATATATATGAGCGATTTGCAATCTCATTGCACCGTTTCAATTCACGGCGTAAAAATCGCAATAATTTAGGTTCATCTTGATGGAATTGAATAATTTATTTTTGTTTTGATCCACTAATTAATCTTCACTACCAGACAAAAAATCAACTTTTTAGCGCATATAGTACTCAAGCTATGAATGCTACAGGAGTCAAAATCCTGATTTTTCGCGCGACCTTGTTAGGTCGGGCGCTGTCACCAGGTGAAAATCCCTTTCACCGATTGAGTCTAAGTTCTAAGTTGATCGAGCAAATAAAACTTTATTTGTATTCAACAAAAACCTATCGAACCTACTAAAATACATCGTTATTTATAGCAAAAAATCGAACATTTAAAATGAACAAAATGATGCAACTCTAAATCACACCAATCTAGGATTATCTGGAAACCTATGATGTAATGAAAAGAGATTGAAATCCTA